GAGACAAACGACAGAACTCGGGGATGCAGAGCGGACAGGGCGTGCCCCGGGGAGCGTCCACTCCAGCAGGCTGCTTGACCACAGACGCGGTTGTACCACACACGCCTTTCTGATCGGGCTGTCTGAACCTTCTTGTGTCCTCTGCCAGTATCCTCATCAGCTCCTGAAATGCCTTATGTCCAAAGGTCACCAGTTGGTCCTTCATATTGAATCGTCAAGAGTTCGAGGTATGCTGGTGCGCCAGATGAACATTCCTCCAGGAATGTCATTTAGAATTAATCTTCACTTCTTAAAACATCAGGATAGAAATATTGTCACTCTAATGTCACATCAGTCCATTGTACAAAGAGCTCCCGTTTATGAAGCACTTAATGTGTGGCTCCGTTGTGCAGAGAACTTGACATACGTTGCTTTGTCTGGTTCTGACAGTGACCTCGCGAGACCGAGACCTTGACTCTATGAGGTTAGAGTTAAGGAAACTGAGTCTTAGGAAAGTAAGAAACAGGTCCAAGGTCTCAAAGCAGCCAAGTCAGTATTTGAACCTAAGCACAAAGGTAATTGTTTTAGTATCAACCTATTAGAAAAATTATATTATGCTAAACGAAATTAGCCAGACAGGGAAAGACAAATACTGTGTAATCTCTTATATGTGGAATCTACCAAGAAAAAAAAAAAAAAAAAAGCCAAGCTCATAGGACTAGAGAGTAGTATGGTAGCTACCAGGGCCTGGGGGTGGGGGAGATGGGGAGATGTTGGCCAGAAGCTTGTAAGCCTAGAGTTGTAAGATGGGAGTCTGGAGATCTAATATACAGCATGGTGACTCTAGTTAGTAATACCATGTTGTGTATTTGAAAGTTGTTAAGAGAGTAGACCTTAGGTGTTCTTAGCACACACACACACACACACACATACACAAATGTAACTATGTGAGGTGACGAACACATTAACTAACTTGATTGTGGTAATCATTTCACAAAGTATATGTATTTCAAATCATCACATTTACCCTTTAAATATATCTGATTTCCCTTGTTAGTTATACCTCAGTAAAGCTGAAAAAATAAAATGTAAACTCTTAAAAAATTCTTTCGGCTAACTTTTATTGGGGGAGATATAACGAACCTTTAGACACATCATATCCATTAATCTTACCAACAGCCCCATGGAGTAGGCATCATGGTCGTCACATGGAGCTGTCAGAAAGAAGGGATAGACAGATTAGGTGACTTGCCCAAGATCATACAACTCTTAAGTAAGACAGAGCTGTGCTATGTTGATCCCAAGGGTTTCCGGCTGGACCTTCAACAGCTCTTCTCTGCTGACTGTCCTGTGAGTCGAGCTGCCATTTGGACCCCAAATGCTGATGTCCCAGCCTGTCTGCCAGTTCTCGGCACCCCTGAGGGAGGGTATCCTTTATTATTTAACACTGCAGTTTCTAAGTTGTTGATACTGCTGGAGTTAGGAGGCTCTGGGGAGGTGAGGGGCCTGGGAGATTAATTTTGGTGGAAATTCTGGCAGAAGGAATGTGAAATGGTGGATGCTTCAGAGACTTAAAAGAAATTGCTGTGTGTGTGTGCATGTTGATTTCCTTCTAACACTCTTGGGGGCTGACTAAAGGAAAGCTATCGGATGTTTGCTCGAGCCCCAGTGCTGTCCCAAGAGTGATAAAAAGGCTGTCTGAACTGGGGCCGGGTATTTGTCTGAAAAAGGAAGTCAGGCGTGTATAGAAATATACACGCAGCGGGCATCAAATGGCGGCAAGTGTTTAATCTGCCTTTTGAATGGATTAGCGGTTGGCTTTAAGAAGGCGCCTCCGACTTGCTGTGTAGACCAGGAGGAGAGGTCATGCTACACAATGAAGATGAGCACCGAGGAGGATTTAGTTGTATATCTGCAATCAGCACAAAAGAGCCGTACAATTATTTCCAGGGCAAGCCAGACTTCCTCATGTCAAACTGGGATAGAAAAAAAATCACCCCGGGCGCCTGGGTGGCTCAGTTGGTTAAGCGACTGCCTTCGGCTCAGGTCATGATCCTGGAGTCCCGGGATCGAGTCCCGCATCGGGCTCCCTGCTCGGCAGGGAGTCTGCTTCTCCCTCTGACCCTCCCCCCTCTCATGTGCTCTCTCTCTCTCATTCTCTCTGTCTCAAATAAATAAATAAAATCTTTAAAAGAAGAAAAAGAAAAAAAATCACCCACCTAGGATGCTTTCTATCAGTGTTGGAAAGGGTTTGCTTTCAAAAGCAGCGTGGCATAGAGCTGGGCTGCCCAGTACAGTGGCTACTTAGCCCCATGTGGTCATGGAGCACATGAAAGGTGGTCGTTTCAAACAGAGCTGTGCCGTAAGGGTTAAAGATGCACCAGGTTTCAAAGACTTAGTAGGAAGAAAGCCAAGTATCTCCTCGATCACTTTTCAACACTGATCACATGCCAAAATGACAGTGTTTTGGCTAAACTGAACTAAATAAAATGTTAAGATGAATGCCACCTGTTTACTTTTTAAAATGCGACCACACGGAAATGGGAAATTAGGCATGTGGCTTGCATTGTATTTCTGTGGGAAGGCAGCGGTCTAGACTGTGAGCAGGGCTGTGAGGTCCAAGAACATTGGACTGAAATTATCCCTGCCCCTCACTTGCTGTGTAGCTCTGGCAGGAGAACACCCTTCTGAGCTTGAGTTTCCACTTACGTGCGTTGGGCAAAAGACTGTCTCTGCTTTTGGGTTATTACGATGGCAAAGTACTGGGTGTATTGAAAGTGT